TTTTTTTCAGTGAGCACATACCACTTTTATAAGCAGTAAAACACTAATAATGCTATATTTATTTATGGGGAAAAACATCTATCAGAGGGTTCTTGTATCACTACAGTAACTCCTGCTTGATAAGAACTGCAGCAGCAATGACCCTGGAAATGACTGGTTTTCTCTCTCATCTCTGACAAATAATAGAAGGAGTAACTCCTACAGTCAGTAATGGGTGAAAGGCAAGATGGTTTGGAGGAAACTGTGATTGGTTGGAAACAATATGGCAATCCAAGGATCCAAATTTGGAATCTATCTTTGCTTCTTAGCTAGAGTGTGATTTGGGGGAAGTTGCTAACGTCTCTAAAGCCTGAATTAATTTTTTTCCAGCAATAAAGTGAGAATAATGAAAATACCTCTCCTGGGGTTGTCTTAGTATCAAATACGATTAGGTGTGTAAAAGATCTTCATAGACTGTGGGTCAGGAGTCATAACAACAATCAACATTTATTGAGTGCTGTGTGCCAGGCATCATACTAAGCACTGCACATGTATTACCTCATTTAATCCTTGTATCAGCCTATGTGGTTAATGGTTATTATCCTCTCTTATAAGTGAGCAAGTTGAGACTCAAAGAGACTTAGGAACCTGCCCAAGGCCACAGTTACAAAAGATAGAGCCGTAATGGAAGATCATACTTGGGGAGAAATGCAGCAAGGAATCTCTAAGAAGTAGTTAATGTTTCCCTGGTCTGCCAGAGTTCTTTGAGGGCCACGGCAAGTACGCAGGAAGGGAGGGCCCAGTGGAAGTAACTTACTTACAAGGGTCTCTCTCTTTACAGATTCAAACAGTGAAATTATTACAGGTTTGGGGCCGTAAGGTAGGAAAACTCCAAGATTTAGAAATGTTAAGAATAAAGTTTATGTGGGCTTTAATACTGGGGTGGTCTTACACAGTTTTTTTAGAAATAATCTGGAAAAAGGAAAACCAGAAAGCCTTAGTCAGAAGACAGAATTTCTTATGAGTTGGGACATCAGGGCTGCACATGCAAAGGGAGTGAATAGAAACATGACAGGGAAGTGTCAGCGGAGTTGGTTTAAAATATATATTTTACACACACACACACACACATATGTGTGTGTGTGTGTGTGTGNTTTACACACACACACACATGTGTGTGTGTGTGTGTGTGTGTGTGTATATATATATATATATATGGAGAGAGAGAAAGATAAATACATAAACACACCCACCCAGAATACATTTTGGAGATGGCAGCCTCTTAGCAGTCAGTCAGTAATATCCTAGAAGGGGGTCATGTAGACATTTTCGATTGTATTCTATCACCTCTGTTGTCTCTACCTCTGCCTTCATGAATCCTTTTAACCAGAAATCCTGGGTGTCATCAGGCAGCATATGTGAAGCAAAACAATCCGTTGGCTTCTAATAGCAAACATTAGCAGGGCTCATTATTATGCACAATGGGACTAGACCAAAGTCGGTAATAGGCAATTAGAGTAGCAGAAAGGACTAGGATTTGTGCCTGAAATGAAGGTTTGGCAAAGATATAATTACTTTCTGAATTTAATTATGAATTATAGATGAAGGGTAGATTATTTATTCTATGGCGTTCTACGACATCTTCACCTCCCAGCTCTGATAGAGGGGAGACATAGCCCTGCAGTAAAAGAGCATACCCTGAACTGTTAACAGTCTGGAAGCATAATGCTTTTAAAATGCATCCATGTTGCCCTGGCCAGTTTGGCTCAGTGGTTAGAGCATCGGCCTGCGGACTGAAGGATCCTGGGTTCAATTCTGGCCAAGGGCATGTGCCTTGGTTGCAGACTCGATCCCCGGCTCCGGTCAAGGCGAGTGCGGGAGGCAGTCAGTCGATGTGTCTCTCTCACATCAATGTTTCTCTCTCACACCCCCCCCCCGAAAAGCAATGAAAAAATATCCTCAGGTGAGGATTAAAAAATAATAATAAATAATAATAAAATGCATCTGTGTTGACTTTGTCCCCAACCCCATTCCATCTGGATTTTTTAAATCTGAATAGTGGCAAGATACTGAACTTAATGGAAGTGACCTGTTTAATTATCTTATTTTCTTCAGAAATAATGAGAGGAAATTGCAAGTAGAAAAAAAATACACTTGTTATCTAGAGATTATTTTGGATTAATACTCGAGATGACAGTGTTCTAGAGAGAAACCAGTATGTCCCTTTTTTAGGTGCAAGAAATATGCGGAGATAATTCCACTACCAAAGATTGTATATAAATTTTCCAAGATGGGAAGATTATGATGCTAAATGTTTTGCTGTTCCAGGTCAACAAAATCAAGACTTAACAAAATGTGGGCCTTCATAGGAGGCCTGTGAAATAAATAATAAAAAGTATATTTGTGTAGCTCTTCAGAGTGTATAAAGTACTGTTACCTGAGATGGGGAGGTGAAGCTTGAGCTGGCTTGCTGCCCAGCTATACAGTCTGAGTTTCATTAATATATTCCTAACTCCTAGTTGTTTTCTGAAGCCGTCTCTCCAGTGGCTGTTAGGTGTCCAGGGATGTCATGATCCTTTGCTTCTTGTTAATTGTACATTACTGTGACTTTTAGGACTGTTGGCCAAAAATAGTTTTGTAGCAGTAGAGAACTATATTGCTGAAGTACTTTGCTTATTTCTTTTCTTTCTTTTCTTTTCTTTTTTTCTTTTTCTTTTAGATATGTTCTGAGGACCAAGATTCATTTGGGGGATGGTTACAGAATTGAACCATGGTAGGCAATGAATATATACATTCAAAGTTGAATGAAACATCCATCCTGGAAGGGGAGTAGACCCTTACTATTCAGTTTAAACTGGCTGCCCTGGTGTATATTGAAGAATTTGCTGTCACACTGTTTACTTTTTAGGTTCATAGATCTTGATCTTCCAAAATCAATGGATCTCAATAACATTAACTTAGAGAAATATTACAGAATAGGAATGCATATAGAATATAGTTTGTTTTTTAAAAGCAATATGCTTTTAACAGTATATCTGTGTAATATAAATGCATTTTTATAAAGTCTAAAAGGGTTCATACCAAGCAGGTAGTGATAGCCACTTGGAGAAGTGACTGGAATTGGAGACGATGGTCAGAGGTCCTTTTTAAGAAAGGAAATATTCATGTATTATTGAACTAAATACAAATAAAATGCTGGTTAACTCTCAACAAGTTACTTTTTACCCCTCACTGGAGATATCTACCCTGCTAATTCCAAGTATATCTTTATTAATTGACTGTGTACAAGTTAAACTGAGTTTCAAGCTTTGAATAGGAAGAAAGCGTTTTCATTCTAGTCCATTATAATGAAACTATTTTTCAGACATAAGGAATTGATGAAGTAACGTATACAAGCAGTCTAGACTGTGCACATTTTCAAGAGAGAGGCTTATTCAAGTTTCTTATATTTTGGTCCAAGAGATCTTTTGGAGAGCAGCGAAGAGAAGTTTGAACTTGGTTCCTGAGCAGTTAGTGAAGAGTTGAGCAGCAGCAACTGTAGGTTGAGAGAAACATTGTAGTTCAAACCAGTTAAGCTTTAAGAAGCAGGCCCTCTTTTGGTCTTTCTAATGCTGGTAAGAATGCACTTTCCAGTTGCACGGCTATTCTTTACCCTTCTGTAGACCTGATTTTCCGAAGCGAATGTGAGGGCAGGGGTGGTTCCAGAATGTTTGACTTTACCCGTCTTTGGGATAAATTTTAAGTGGCTGCATTTTTTGTGTGTAGATATGTTTTTTTCTTTAAGAAAGGGTAATCCTGAAAAAGCTATACCCACATACCAAGTTTTCTGTCAAAACATTCATCTATTGCCTCAATTTCCCTAATGTTATAAGAGCCATTGTCTGAAAATAAAATGTTCCATCAACTGAAAATATCTCTTCTTTAAAATAATTTGTTTTCAGGAACATGTATTGACTCATCTTTCCAAAGTGGTCATTTTTATTATTTCATCCAAGTTAAAACAGGGACTTAACTGATCAATCAACTTTATGCTCAAAAGTGTATTAATACAGGTTATGAAGGGAATAATTTAATTCATATTACAAATATTTATTGGCACCTCTACATGCTTGCATGTCAGGGAAATTCAGAGTATTAAAACATGTTACTGCCCTTAGTGACCTAACTACTTTCTAAATTGGTGTTAGCCTGCAATCCATATGCATTAAAGTTGCCAGTGATGTAAGGTGATTCTTCCACCAAAACACCAAGTGGAAATCAGTACAGTATAAACTGTGAAAGTACTAAGTAGGGTGAACTTCAGGATGTTTTCAGTAGTTGGGAAGCCCCCGAGGAGAAGGGCTGCTGGGCATGACTACCTGGAGGAAAGGAATGAAGCCTCCTGTCTAATCTCTCTATTCTGCCCAATAGCAAGTGCCTTGCAGGAGGCATTCACTCCCTAGGTGTCATTCATGATGATAGCGCACTGCTGCGGGGAGAGTTAGCCTTATGGCCAGTGACATCTCCGTGTAATTTTGAGGTGGGTGTTGGAGGTTGAGCATGTGCTACAGAAAGTGGAAGAACTGTTTATTAGTGCAGGTGACTTTTAGCCTCTTATACTAGCATTATCATTGTGATTGGTTTGCATTTCCTAGTGCTCTGTTGTGGCAGGAGTGTGTGTGTCTTGATTTTTAAAAATATATGGCAAATTTTCTTTAAGTGATCAGTTGGCCTCTCCTCCTCCTGTGTCTCTGTAGGGTAAACACCACCATTTAATTGGTCATGGATGTGGCTAAAGTCAGTGCACTCAATGTCTGTTTGTGGGTAAAGTTTAACGTTATTCCCTGGTAGCGGGTTTATCAACAGACCATTTGAATCAGCTAGTTCCTCTCAATATAAAATCGCAGAGATGTTTAAGATACAATTTCCCAGAACAAGAGTGAGAGCTGTCAGTCAGTTCTCCAGTTCGGCTTTCATGCCGTGGGAGTCCTTGGAAACCTGTTTTGAGAGAGTTCTAAATCATGCATATTCCTGTCTTGCAGGGTTTTTTCTGATCAAGCAGACAGTTCACCATAGAGTCCAAGGATGAATGTTCACCGTGGCAGTGACAGCGACAGATTATTGCGGCAAGAGGCCAGCTGCCTGATGGATGAAATCTCAGCTGCCGCCCAAGAAAAAGAAACAAATAGCCTGACTTCTCCGGGTCTTCAAAATCTTTCTTATTCCCTCGGTCCCAGGAATGATGGTACGGTGGTTAACCCTTGCCTTGACTGGGAGGGCTTTCTGACACCTGAGCATCCACTGTGCCAGAGGACAGAAATGTTCTTAACCTATTAAGATACCCAGTTAATCGGTTTAGCTTATATATCACAGTTCTGTAAAGCTAACCATCACAGAAAACCCCCGCGTATTTAATCAGTCTCGCACATCCAGCTTGGCAGTAATGGTGTAAGAAAGATAGTCATGGGTTTGCAGGCAGAAGATGGGCTCAGATTCCAGCTCTGCTGCCTGTCGGCTGTAACCGTGGGTATGATCCTTGGGCTTTGTGAGCCCAGCTTTCTTAGTCTAGAAAACAGGAATATAATATTCTTCTTACCTCACAAGGCTAGAATATTATTGAGTTAATGGAGGTGCAGTCTCTTTTTAACTTTTAATAAGCACAATAGCAACAATAATAGCACTTCCTACTTACTGGGCACTCACTGTGCCAGGAATTTTACATCTGTTTAAATCAAGGGTGACAGGCTATGGTCAAATCTGGACTGCTGCCTATTTTTGTCAATAAAGTTTTGAAATACAGCTATCATGCCCATTTGTTACATGTTGTCTATGGCTGCTTTCCTGCTACAGTGGCAGAGACTGACCCACAAAGCCCCAAGTATTTACTTTTTGGCCCTTTACAGAAAGTTTGCCGATCCCTGCTGAGATCAGTCCTTTTAAAAATGAGGAAATGTGGGCTTCAGAAGCCTAGGTAACTTGCTCGGGTTCACACTGCCAGGATGTGGGGGACTGGATTTTGAACCTGGGTCTTTCAGATAAGACTGTGCTACTGTTATATATATACATAAGCAGAGTGCTGCACCATTAGGGAGAATTTGTGCAATGAGGCTCTTTTCCTTCTTACCCATTTAAGGATGGAACCTGAGGCATCCTTCAGTAATTGATCTAATTTAATTGCCTCATTGCTGGGGGCACATCAAGCTTTCTAGAGAACTGAATTAGTGATGTAGATCCTACTTTCATTTTTAAGAACCTCACTGCCAGTGTGAAAGCCTGTCTGGTGATTAAGGTGTTTCTTGCTACAAGCCTGCCTGTGGATTGTGTGGGAACTTAGCTCTTGGTATGCAAAATCAGGGCCACATTGAAAATTTAAGTCCTGCAGAAGCTGTAAGATGTGAACCCTAAATTGATTTTTGGTCTAGATTTTGGTTTCCTTTTCTCTAGAAACAGGTG